AGAAAAAGCCAATAAGATCCCGCACTTTTATTTCTCTTACTTTAATAAGAACCGGGCATCTCTCCCCCGCATATAACATTAATAATGAAGAAAAGAATCAAATTTTCAATAGAAATTGCAATCTCAAAGCGCGCAATGAACATTTCAGCGAAAATCTCGGGAGAATCTCGACGTTTCATTTTCTACTCCTCTTTCCAGTGCTCTCGCGTAGTAGAGATTTTGATTAATTTTTCTCTATGAAATTTGGGCGTTGATTCAGCGCACTAATGAATGGAAGCTTCGTAATTGCACATCGTCGACGTATCTTGGCCAATGGAAGAGTGTAGTTCGGTAGCTATAGAAACTGCTTCGTGTTGGTTTTATTGCAAAAGAAGAATGAATCTTACAACTCCGCCTAGAATCATCACGTCTCTTTTGCTAAACGTAAACTCGTATTACAAGCTCCTCGTTTCCACGCAATTTTTTTTGCAGTACGTCGCAAAGGCGTACGTTCAATTTATTTATTATCCATCGAACTGCATTGACGTTTTTGTCTTTTAGTTTTCTTTCGGCCTCGTATTTGGTTTAATTCGCGACCACCACGTGGTGGCGAATGCGCCCGTGAGGTATATAACGACGGCGGGGTGTCGGGCGCGTTCCTCTCTTTATGTTGTGAAAGATAGTGAGAGGGGTTCGACTATAACAAAACTTCGATGTCATCCTTTTTACCTGAGCTAATTATCATTGATGCGACGATGAACAGCTGCCAAAATCACGAAATTCACCGAAACATTCACGCATTCATTTCCTCCGAATGTTAATTAAAACTGGTTACTTGTCAATACTTTACTCCACAAGGCACATAACTTGATCAGATAATAAGGCATTAAACTTGAAACAAAATTCGAAACTGAAAAAAACCCCGCCAAAATTGGCAAAATAGACGATTTGACAAAAATCCAAAGACCACGGGCTTGTAAGTCGAGGGGGGCCAATTTTTATTCCCAAATAATTCTTGTAACTTTAACCTTGTGCTAGGGGTAGCAACGCCCTGCAATTGTTTAAAAGGGACGAGGGGTCAAATGACACATAATTCGGAAGAGATTTTCATTACCTAGGTAGGTACTTACAGTACCGTTTTATTTTTTTAAAATTAATAACCCAAAAAGGTTTAAAGAAAACGAATGTATTGCTCGAAATGACCTCCGCCAAGTTCAATACAATAATTCAATCTTGATTCAAAGCCCGATTTTACATTTCTCCGGTATTCGGAAATAATTTTTTCAGTACAAATTTTCCTTGGGACGTCTTTTGACCGATGCCATCAGAAAGATGAAATAAGGCTTTTCAGTACAGATTATCTTGCCGCTAAAATCAAGCGATAAGCGACTTGTTTCAGATCAATCGAAAATTTTAAAATTGCTAGTTGGACGAGATATCAATGTTGCCTGGAAATGGGATTTTCAATTCAAGAAGTTCAATTTTTTAAATCACTAGAACAAAAGCAGCTATGACCGAACAAAAAACAAGATAGCTCATATTCAAAAACCCGACTTTTGATCCGGTTCATACTCAATAGCACTGATCTTTGAACTCGTAGAATTCGATTGGCGAAGATTTAACATCGCTGTCTCTTTTCGTTCTTGAGATACACGAGGAACGGGCAGGCAGACAGACGGATAGACGGACAAAACAATCACATGAGGGGCACTTTTCTTCTTACGATTTTAAAGCGCAAAAGAGTGCGTCCTATTTTGGCTGAGACTGCAATGCATATCAGGTGTTTTTAAAGATTAGAGTTTTAGTTTTGGTTTTGGCGACCCTGGGCCACTTTTTGTGAAACTTTTACTACCATAAAAAAAAGTTTGATTTTTTGAGACATTATCGTGTCTTAGGTAGTATGATTTTTTATTATATTATATCATATTCTTCAAAATGAGATGCTTCTACCCTCAGCGATTTTTATTGGTTAACCTTAGTTACCATGGATACAATAAACAAAACAAAATCTCTATGAATCCATGGCCTATTATTTAAAAACCGTAAAAAAATAAGGTTTTTATTTTTAGTTCATGGCAAAAATTTAAAAAAAATTATAGGTACATCAATGATATCAGGAAAAAGAATGCAAAAAAAAACTGACGTGAAAACATACAGGGTGTTGCATTTAAAAAATACCAACTTTGGGTCAAATCTCAGAAACGGTGATCCAAAAATTTGTTTGGCTACGTCTACGTAAAAATTACGCAGTTTTTACCTTTTTCCATCCTATATGGGTAGTAGGTATAGGTTGTGACACATAGGAAAATGTAATCAAGAAAAAGAATTCAAAAAGTTGACCTTAAGATATACAGGGTGTAGGTGTAAAATTTCACAATATGTAAAAATACGCAGGTGCATATATTCCGTTTATGCTGGACATATTAATAGTGCCCATGCTCAATTACTTTTTGTATTCTCCACTGTAATCCAAAGAAAAAGGGCTCTATGTATTGCTGTGTAAACAATGTCAGTCAGGACGTTGTATTTGAATTAAGACATTTGGAATAGATTCTGGTGCCTAATTGTTTAATTAATGTCAACATTAATGGTGTGGGTCTAATACTCTAATTACGTTTTATCACAAAACTATTTTCGAAATCGAGCGTGCACTCAAGGTTGTATTTTTTTATTTTCTGTTTAAATGATGAGATTTCTTGGAATTAATAGATAAAGAAATTGTTGTACCTCTGATTTTTATTTGTTATCAAGTTGCTCATTAGTGTAAATGTGACAGTTTCAAGTTGATTTATTAAGTTTTTCGTTTATTTGCTAAAGATGAAGGTAATCGTTTGAGATAACAGGGCTATTGCACTCTTAAAGAAAAATTGCACTATTAGGTAGAAATTGTTAAATTAGATAAGGAAAATTCCTAGAATTAAGATGGACGTGCCGAATTCAGGTTTCGTTGTATTGGCTATTGTCGTTTCCAAACCGCCTTTATGGGTTAAAAAAGTTTAACAAAATTTAAGTAGGATTTCCGTTTAAGTACTGTGGTCTTCTAAAGACCTATAGCAGTCAAAATTCCGATCATATTATGTTTCTGCAAGATTTGATTCTGTGACACAACTAAAAATTTGAGTTGTCACTGTAATCGGGAATGTGAATTGAAGACTCCCATGGATCACGCAGAAACAATGGAAATTCTGTCGTAATTTTACTGTCGGACGAAGAGATATTAATTGGAAACACTGAAATTTAAAAACAAAAACCTTCGTGGGGTCCCTGCGCTTAGTCCCTAGTCTTAGGGATTTTTATAATATTTATTTTATTTTTATATTTTGTCTTTATATTATAGTGGGCGGAGTGTCTTCTGCTATCTAAAAAGGACAGGGTGGTAGCACTAAAGAACTCTATACAGATAAAAATTCAAAAGGAAGAAAATAATGGTGAAAAAGAAACAAGTAGACAGGTTTTTGCCCTAAGGCGAGTAACTTTAACGTATTTTCCATGCATGCAGTACTTCCCAAAAAGCTATGGTTATGTTTTTCATCAACTAATCAAGTCTTTTAAATCTAAGAAGGTTTCCAATTCGACGTGGAAGGGATGGTGACATCCATACCCACAGAAACTAGTGAATCTCCAGGATCAGGTCAATCCAAAAACTCTATTTTTTAAAACACGCGGTACTTCGATGAAGCTCAATTTTTTTAATCGAAGAGATTTTTCAATCAAAAATTGACAAAAAATATGCCACTTGAAGTAGTTCAATTATCCTTATTCATTTATAGTGCATTTCCCTTAAGGAATTTCCGATGAACCATCAGAGCCAAAAACCGTCAAAAATTTTACTTTTTTGTCACCACAATGTTTATCTTTCTATTGTTTTGGGAAGTGTATTTACCACAAAAAGATGTGCGCAACAAAAAATGCTAATTCTTGCTAAAAACGGGGGAAGGGTGCAAGTAAGTTTACAGTTCAGATTGGGGTGCATTTTGCCTCATCCGGCTAGTTTGCCTTTTAAGTCGCTACCTCAGAATGATAATTTAAAAAATGGATCAAAAATGATAAAAGAACCGAAGAGGTATAATAGAAAAACGCTAAAATTGTGACAAAACTACACAGTAAATACAATTAAATTCGCAAGGTCTCATGCAATTAGACTTTCAGAAAAGCAAGTCTCGCGACTGTATAATGAAGAATCCTCGAGCTGACCACAATTCAAGCGCGCGTCCGAGAATCAGATTTCAAAAGAATTTCTCGCAATTATTAGTAGAAAAATAATTACAGCAACGCTTTATTTTTACGTGTAAACCTCTTTTTTTTCGCATATGGTAAAATGTAGGAGACATAACAATGGAACGTGTATCGACAGGGTATCGACAGTATTTTTATGCGCTTGAAATAAATCCTTGTAATTGTGTGGGACCGCGGGTGACGCATTTTCAGTGAACATAAAAAACGACACATGCGGTGTCTCTCCGTTATTAGTTATGGATAGGATCTTTTGTTCCTTAAAATTTATGGCCGATCGGAAATATGACTCCCTACAATTACGTATTCCCATTTATTTTTGCAATAATAATTTACGTCTCGTAATTTTAAATCCTATCTAATTCTAATTAATTAAGTTTTCCACGGTTTGCGTGGTAGAATTGTTTTAATTATTTCACTCAAAAATAAATGGTTTCATCTACACAAAAGTTTTATCTTAAAAATGTATTTCGTGAAGGAAAACCCAAATCTATCCGGGGCGCCGCGACGTGCACCATATATTATTGACGACGGCGCGTACGACGCCCGTCCAAAAGCGACCACACTAAGCTATTACGAATTCATATGAGAAACACAAGGGGGGTTTGAAATATTAATAGACATTTCTCATTTTTCCGTAGAAAACAATTCATACTAAAGTACGAGGATAATATAGGAGCGTAACCGTAGTAGTAGCGACTCTATATTGCATTAAACATGCGTATTTCTACTCACCCCAACATTCCTACAAGATATTCTACATTGAATAATAAAAAAACGTTACTCACCGTTCGCACTAAACATGGAGTTGTGGAGAAATTGGTTTTGAGGTGGATAGGAACTGTTGTTGCCGAGGGAGTAGAGCTGCTGGAAGATGGCGTCCTGGTTCTCCTTCTCCCCCTTGACGGACGCCGCCATCTGCATGCTGGCCATCTGGAGAAGCTGGAGGTGGCTGTTGTTGTTGTGCGTCTGACCCGTCGGGTTGGTCGTCGAATCCGCGGACACAACTCCCGAGGCTCCCGGTATCGGAGGAATCGTAAACTCCCCATCGCTCCCGGACCCATCTTTATTGGCGCTCTCCAAATGCATTCGAACATTCGCGATATGCCCCTTCGTAAATATATGATCTTGAATCGAGTACTTATGCGAATATTTGAACGAGCAGAATTTGCACTCCTCGGGCAGTTTCGGATTTTCAGGTTCGGCCGTCCCCAAAACCTTCTGTAAGGCAATTTTGTTCTTTTTCTCTTTCGCCCTGGCGTTTTGAAACCAAACTTGTATCACACGTTTCGGGAGGCCAATTTCGCGCCCCAACATCTCACATTCCGCCATCGTAGGCGTTCGATAATCGTTGAAGAGTGACTTCATCACCTTAACTTGAACCGACGACATTTGCGTGCGGTACCTTTTCGAGCCCATCCCCGACGGTACGGAGGAACCCATCCGCTGTTGTGTACTTTGCGTGCTACTAGCAGGCGAAGTTGGATTACTCTCATCGTCAAAAAACTCGGTGGTTTCCGACATGGAGTCGCTCCTCTCGTCGCACATAGACCTCTCGCTCAAATCCGTGAGCGGGCCCGGATCACAAAGCCCCTTCTCGTGGTCAAGCGAAACCTTAACCGGCCTAGATAAATCAACAGGCTTCGACAGATCCAACGGAATCTCGCCATCCTCCTTCGATCTTATCTCACTCTTATCGCCATTAGTGGACGCGGCGTGCGCCTGTAACTCGCTGATGTACCTCTTCATACTCTCCTCGTAATACTTCTTGATCGAACTCTCAATCTCGGCGTTCATAGGTGGAAACAAAGGTGGAAGTACCTGCTGGCACTTTTCGCCCGTCGAGTTGAAGCTCGGCGCCGACTCCAAACTGACTTCCTCATCCGGCAACGCGTCAATGTTAATTTCGCCACGAGCGCACTGATCTGAATGTTTCGCGGTCAAGTGAGACTCCAGCGCGGATTTTACTTTGAACAGAGCCGGACAGAACGGACACCGCTTGTTTATGACTTGGGCGTGCGCCCGAAACTGTCCCTTCCTCTCGCGCGCCCTCGTGTTCTGAAACCACACCTGGACCACCCTCTTCTTCAACCCGACCTCTCTCGCAATATTCTCCAACATCTTCCTCGACGGATTGCTTTCGATCTGGTACTTCTGGTAGAGGTAGTCGAGCTGCTCGGGCAGAATCGTCGTTCGCAACCGCTTGTCTTTGGGCTGATCGGAGATGTCGCTTTCGGTGTCGTCTTCGAACTTCCGCTTTTGCGCCGCGACGTTGTTGAGCATGTTCATTAGGGGGTGTTGTATGCCGGGCGCCGACGAGTTTTCGTTTAGGTTCGCGTTAAGCTGTTGCAACTGGGCGTGTTGTTGGAGAATGCCGAAGGGCGAGTCGGGCGGGTACGATGGGAAGAGGTTCGGGTTCATTATGTGCACCAGCTGATGTTCCCTCCACAGGTCGAAGCGAGGAAAAACTAAATTGCACTTGTCGCACTGGTATGAGCTTTCTTTGGAGTCGTTGGGGGTGGACGATGGAATTGGGGATGTCGGAAAGTTTACGACTGATGCGTTTGGGGTGGTTGGAGGGTTGGGTCGGATTGGACTGTGTGCCGCTGGGGGTATTTGGGGGTTGTGCGTCATTTGTGGTTGTTGCTGGTTCTGTTCGACCGTCGTGCTCGAGTTGGAATCTTCGGAACTGAGAACGGCGGCGATTTGAGCTGCGGCTGCTTGTGCTTGCGCGGATCGTTTCGCGTCCTCTTCTTTGAAGCAGTGGGTCTTTTGGTGGCGGATCAGTTCGTAGTACCTCTGGAAGACTAGGAGGCACTTTTTACACTGGTAGTTAAGGCCGGGCGTTCGTTGGAAACGATTGGCGCCGCCGTCTTCGGCAATTCCCGGAGCTGGATCTACGGCGGGTTGGTTTTCGTAGACCTTTCGCGCCTTTTGCCGCGCGTTCTGGAACCAGACGACAATGACGCGCGGGCTCAGATTGAGAAGCTTGGAGAGGTATTCGAGATCGTCATCTTTGGGGTAGGCGTTGTTTTCGAAGAACTCTTGCAACACTTTTATTTGGTAGTCGGTAAATCGAGTGCGGTTCGCCCTTTTACCGGTGGTGCCTCCGGAGCTGTTGCTGCCACTGCTGCTTCCGCCGTTTCCTCCCAAAAAATCGCCACGATTGGGACTAATGCATCGATTTGGGGTCATAGGTAAAATATTTTGAAGGTTGTTTGGACTAGCGAAATTTTGTTGACTTAGTTTTGTAGGGGGTAACATTGGACTGGTTAGGGGGAGGTTATTTGCGGTGGTTAAATTGAGCGTATTCGGTGCCGTCGTGGTTGTGAGGGTATCCCCAAGTTGCGAGGCGATTATCGACGTTAACGTAATATTGTTCGGTATGTTCGGGCTCGCCGCTTGTGACAAATTTTGAATTTCCGAATTACAAATGGACGTTACCGGACTAGGAGGAGGGTGGTGCAGCTGTTGGTGCATATGAAAAATATTAGGTTTCTCATCCAGTGGTTCCGGGTGCTTATCTTCCATGTTGTATTTGGGATGTTCGTCTAGTTCTTCTTTGGGCTCCGTTTTAATTACATCGCCCGGAGGAGGCGAACCTTTCGAGTTTTTTGAATTGTCATCCGTGCTACTGCCCGAGCTATTCAAAGGTATTACTTTAGCTTCGCCCGTCTTCTCGTACTCTTCCAAATTTAAGGTCGTCGAAGGGGGATTATTAAAATTATAAGGGCTGTCTTTATTCCTCTGTCGCTCTTTAAACAACGTATTTCTAAACCAGTGCTTTATCACTTTTGGCGGCAAACCGCTCTGAGAGGCCATGTCTTGTATTTGATCTTCAGATGGGGAGTTGTTAATATCGAAATGCGAACGTAAGATTTTCAATTGTTCGTCTGTTATTCTGGTTCTTGCACGTTTTTGGTTGGCTGCAGCGTTAGCGGCCTATTCGAAAATAAAATTACGTTACAATTGCAAATGAGACTAAATTGCGAGTTTAAATCAATCAATTGACGCCATTTTGCTCTAATTAGGGCCAATCTCACTAGCTATGCTTAAAAATTAATCGGTCATTAATAACAAAGTTACCATACCGCGGGAGGAGGGAGTCTGACGTCAGTAGAATAACGCACGTGTAGTATCTGATGAATTCATCGATTAATAAATTTTCAGACTACACAAAAAAAATAAATAGAACAATTACGTTGTAGTTCCAATTGTTTGAGAATAAGTCTCCTGAACAAAGCAAAATAAAGTCCTTTTGAGAGAGTGAGAGGGGAGGGTGTTTTGAAAGTCCCATGCGGTTTTGATCTGATGGCTTAACAAAATTCAAGGTATCTATTCCTAACACCTGAACAGAAACATTGAAAAAATCGAAGAAACGGAATAATTAATAAACTTTGATCCAATGTATCCAGTCTAAAAAAATTCGACGTATATAATTAATGAATAATCAATTAGAAGAAATGAAATAATCAAAAGGTTTCTAATATTTTGAGGGAATTTGAAAAATTGATAGAATTTTATTATTAAAAAAATGTAAAGAACTTACAGAAGTGGAAGAATCTAGGGAATCATAAAATTCGTACGCATAGCAAGTAGTTTTTCTTACTGGAAAACGTTGCATCGTAGCGGAAAACTCTTCAAGTGACAATAGAATCTTATTAAATTTGCCACAACTTTGCTTCTATATATATTTTTGAAAACCAAAACCGTTTGTAATATATTGGACCACGTGGCTTGGGGATTTTCAAGAAACGCGTATTTTCACTTTTCGTTTTTTACCAACTTTATTGCTAGAAGTTCCTCAGCAAAGATCTTTAAATACCATTAATTCAAGAAGATATACGTTGTACAGGGTAGCTCATGTAACTCAAAAACCTAGGCAAATCCGTAAATGTGTTATGCGTATGTGTTATAGTTGCTGGTAAAAAAATTCAAGAAGAAACGCAAATTTTGAGGAGTGAAATATTTAAAAACTCTAAATTAACATTTATTTCGGAAAATGTTTTGCTTCTCTTCCACCAAATTTATTTTGAGACTTAATTGTTACACCCTATATATAAAGTTCAGCTCAATGAGCAAAAATGGAAGTTTCTGGCCTAATTTGTGCAAAATCTTGAAAATGTTCTATATTCTTGAACGAAATTTAACGCTCCATAACTTTATCGCAACCTCTCTGTAAAATGAAAGTGTGGGAAGAATAACAAAGAAAGGAAAATTGTTTTTTTGGAAATTGCCAAGTTTCCTGGGCCAATGTGTCGAAAAAGATTCGAATTTTAAAAAGTTTTCATGCGCATCCGCTACAAAGCATCGGTTTCGAGCGGAAAAGTGACCTTCAAACGCCCCTCCACTCCCGCGCACCTAAGAATCGAGGTGATAACACCACGTTTTTAGGAATTGAGAAACACTACCTAACTTGATCATAGGTGGCATTAGAATTACTTAGATTTTAAGGCTAATTAGACGAAACTTATGAGAAAAAGGTACTCACCGCCTGCTGTTGCATCATGGCTTGTTGTTTCGCTAGAATCGCTTGCTGATCTTGTGGCGCATACTGTGTCATGGGATCGTAAGGTGGTGGTGGCATCATGAGTGGTACGAGGGGCGGTTGTAAGTTCATGGCCGCGAGTGCGTTGAGACCCAGAGGTAATCCCATACCCATAATTTGCATCATCGGGTTAAAGTTTAACTGTTGAAGTTGCATGACGTTAAGGGCCGCCTGCATTTCGGACATTTGTTGCGCGAAGGTCATCGGATTTTGTGCCATCGTTTGAGCGATCATCGCCTGAATGTTTGCGGGTACCGAATCTGTGCTGCTCGCCGGCGTAGACGAGGACGTGGGCGTCGAGGGTGCCGTCGACGTTGCTTCGGGAGGTGTATTTAAATTTAGTTTAGCGTGGAGGGCTTCCTTCGAATCGTCCTCTTTCTCGGGAGTCGTCTCCGAATGTGCGGGGGTCGATGTACTGGGTGCACCTGGGGTTGTGACTCGCGGGTTGGTGTTAAGCGTCGAGGATGTTGCAGCCGTCACGACCACCGATTTCTTTTCGTATTCGTTCTTGAACTGTTGAGCATACTTTTCTAAGAATTCTAGTGGCACTAAATCTTTATGAACTTCTTCACAGTGAGACTTTAACACCCAAACACTAGAGAATTCTTTATTGCAATGTTGGCACGTAGATCTACTTACTTCAGGTAAGTTGTTTTCTGCGTCCTCCTCGGCTCTGGGTGCATCCGTCTCATCATCGGCTGGGGGTGGCGTCGCTAATTTCTCCTCGGCTTCCCGCTGCCTTTGGCGTCTCTGATGGCTTTCGTTATATTGCATCACTAGATCAAATCCGAAACTTTCGAGCAAGTGTTTGTACATATGCGAACCAGTCTTCTTCGACAGGTGGAGGCGGTTGACGAGGTCCTGCTCGCTCGGCGGTGGGCTCTTCGCCTGACCCGGCTCTTGTGCCTGAAAGATGGCCATCGGCGCTGCGAACATACAGCACAGCTGCTGGTGTGCACTTAACTGATCTTGCGAACTAAATAGGGCTCCGCACTTAGGGCAGCTCATCATCCCTTGACTACCTGCACCGGGCCCGGGTGACATAGGGGTGGGAGACGCCTTTTCCCCACTACCGGGCGCGGGACTTGTCTGTTTCGGAGACTGCATGGCTTCGGGCTGCTCGATTAGCGGTTTCGAAAGGTCAATTTGTCCCGCTAATGCCAAATCTTGCAATTTACTGGCACGAGTTTGGTGCAGTACGCTACGCATGTGAATATCCAGGGTGCTACCCTGTGTGTAAGCCACTTTGCATATGTTGCAGCGGTATCTCTTTTTGTCGTCCTCGTCCGACGACGTGCTTTTCGGTGTCAAAGTGAGATTCTGCGGCTGGTTTATTACCGGTGAAACAGGAGGGTTGTTGTTGTTGTTCTGCTGCTCTTGCATCGCCCTTTTTAATTTATGTAAATGACTAACCGAGTTGTAATGCACTAACAGTATATTCTTTTGCGTGAAACTTTCTTTGCAAACATCGCATTTGTAAGGTCGGTTGGGGTCCAGGTACTTCTCCATGGGGTAGCTAAGTTTCTCGCCTTTTCTATGCAGAAGGGTTTTATTGTGGGCGGTTAAATAACTTTGCCTCGTAAACGCTACCTTGCACCGGTGGCATTTGTATTTTCTATTAGGGTCATTGTAACTATCTTCGGCCATGGCCTGACTGTTCAGGTAATCTTCCAGGAATTGCTGATCTTTATAAACGATGCTGTCGTCCGAATTGTCGCCGTCGTTCTGATTACTGTCGTCGTGGCTGGTGTTGAGATCTTTGCCGTCGTCGCAGTCCAGAGATTCCGTGTCGTCACATCGCAAGGACTCCTTTTTTAGAATGTCATTGGTCGAACTGTCGAGTACCTGCCCTTGCAAGCCCGCTAACAAAAGTGGATTGTTCATCAAGCTTTGTTTGTACGCCGCCAACTCCTCGTCGGTCAATTCGGAGTGAACACTTTCTACGTGCTTATGGAGCGCCACCACCGATCGAAAACTCCTTCCGCATAAAACGCACTTGGTGGCGTCCCTAATGATGTGATACTGAGAATGTAATTGTAATTTTTCTAAAGTCTTAAAGGCTAATGAGCATTGATTGCATCTATATTTGTACACGTGTTTCTCGGAGACCGACATATGCGTAATGGAATTTTTGGCGTGGACATCTTTGAAGTGCATTTGTAAGGTGTGAGCCGTAGGAAAAAACTGGTTGCACCCTTTCTTCCAGCACATATATCCCGGACCGCTCGGCGTTTGCTTTATCTCCAAATGGCCCGTTTCGTTCTGATGCGAGCACAGTTCGTCGATGTTTTTGAAGTTCTTATAACAAGTCCCGCACTTTTCCGTTTCCATGTCGACGTTCTCGTCACTGTTCGGTGACATTATGTCGCCCTCCACCTCCAAATGATTCGCGTCTCTATCTAATTTATTATAATCTTTGGAAGAAACCGAATTCGGCGAGACCATTTGATTTGGCGGCGTCTGCATTTGACTATTCGAGTGATTAGGCGTCGGCGTTCTTGACACCTGGTTCAACCAGTGGCTTTGATCGACTAGCATCAGAAGTCTCTGTAAACCCTCGCTGTTCACCGAATGTATTTGCATCACGTGCTTTTCCAAGTTCGATCTGTCTTTGAACGAATCTTGGCATAAGGGACAGTTCAGCATCATATCCGATGAACCGTGAGCGCTATGCTGGGCTAAAACGTGAGCCTGAATTCGCATCTCTGAATCGCTCGTGTAATTGCAATACGGGCACATGTGTAACGGAGATTCGGATTCGGAATTATTTATTTCTTCGCTATCGTCGTGAAGTTCGCTTTTTAATTGATTTCTAGTCGGATCCGGATGGTGAGGTTCCGAATTTGTGCTGTCTCTGCGTTCTAATGAAAGAATAAAAAGTAATTAAGAGAAAGTCTCCAGTCAGTGGCGCCGGCAGGCCTTCCAATCTAAAACGGTACGGGACTAGCACCGCCACTGACTACAGCTCAAAACAACAACAAAAAAAACGCTCCTGGTTAAGTCTGCATTAAAATGCCACAAATGACAATCGGTGTATTGTTACATGGGCCCGAGGCGTTCAACTACGCCTACGTGCACGACCAAAAAAGAATAATTATAATGCTATCAAGTTTTTCGAAAATATTCCATCGAAGCCATATGGTAGGCCCTAACTGTACCCCGAAGGGTGCTAACTACAGACTCGCCTTTCACGAACTTGTCATAATTACACATTAAGAAGTGGCCCAATATAACATTTACATCGATCATCTATTGTTACATTGTAATACTGTTACGTGAAAGTTATGTCTTTTGTCAGACTAATCCAAAAGCTATAATTTCAATTTTTCTCAAATAAAAAAACCTCTTTATGGTATTTATATAACTTTAAAACACAAATTAACCCACAATTTTCACATAAAAATCTACCATTATTTTGATAGCAAATTAAACTCTCGACCGCAACAGACGTTCGGTGCCGTAATCCAATCGGGAGACTTCAACGCTCGATTATAACGGTAACCCTGTTATTCAGATGGGAGATTTATAAGAAAACAAATGCTTCGCCGGGAACAATTGGGAAGGGTAATGCTGGTCACGCAGGTATCGAAAATGAGGCGTTCGCATTTGGACGATGGGCAACGGGTTAAAATTTAACTTCAGATTCGTTTGTGTAAAATGTGGATGTTCTGCGACCGACCATAATTTATTATAATAGAGGCAACCCGTGAGGAAAAACTTTGGGTGGTTATTAATTAAATAAGAAGTTTATGAATTTTCTGCACTTACTCATTGCTCTACGCACTAAAATTGTGTGTTCCTTGACGCGAATTTCTCTTTTAAAAACTGTTTTCCAGGATCACATACACAGAAGAAGATGTAAAATTTATTTGCTGGCAGTTTTTCTCGTATCATGCTCTTCTGATACCTAATCGTTGTATCAGGTTTACAGAAACGCAAGAAAGGGTAAAATTTACTCACAATCTTTGATACATTACGCCCTACTGGCACAAACGTTTCTTTGGAAACCTATTTTCAGATGTAAAATTCACTTACTGACAGTTTTTCTCGTATTATGCTCCTCTGGTACCTAATCGTTGTATCAGGTTTACAAAAACTGAAGAAAGGGTAAAATGTACTGGCAATCCTTAATACGTGACACAAACTTTTCTTTTGAAACCTGTTTTTCAGGATCACACAGGATCGCAGGAACACACGAAAACGTATAGTTCCTTTAGTGACAGTTTTTTCTCGTATTATGCTCCTCTGATACCTAACCATTGTATCAGGTTTCCAGAAACTCAAGAAAAGGTAAAAAAAGGCAATCCTTTGATATATTATGCCCTCCGGACACAAACTTTAATTTTGAAATCTGGTTTTTAGGATCACAGAAACACAAGAAGAGGTAAAATTAATTTTCAAGAAGAGTGAACATTCATTTGCTGAGAGTTTTTCTCGTATTATGCCCCTCTGATACCTAATAGTTGTTTCAGGTTTACAGAAACTCAAGAAAGGGTAAAATTTACTCGCAATCCCTTAATAAATTATGCCCTCCTGACACAAACTTTTCTTTTGAAACCTGTTTTTCAGGATCACAGAAACACAAGAAGAGGTAAAATTAATTTTCTGACAGTTTTTCTCGTATTATGCCCCTCTGATACCTAATAATTGTATCAGGTTTACAGAAACTCAAGAAAAGGTTAAATTTACTGGCAATCCTTTGATACATTATGCCTTCCTGACGCAAACTTTTCTTTTGAAACCCGTTTTTCAGGATTACAGAAACACAAAAAGATGTAAAATTCATTTGCTCACAGTTTGTCTCGTATTTTGGTCCTCTGATACCTAATAGTTGTATCAGGTTTACAGAAACTTACTGGCAATCCTTTGAATTGATCTTGACATAAACTTTATTTGGAACCAGGGTCTCAGAAACACACAAGATAACATTCATCTCTCTCTATTACGCCAACTACTGCCACTTTCATCCTAATGCAACAAATCTTAAAGGAAACGCCTGCATCAGAGAATCCTGCTCGGGTTCCTGTGATCCTGACAACGTTTCAGGAAAAGTCCGGACGACAACCTATAAGAAAATGTCGCGGTAGAACTTAAAGATCAACTGCAAGTAAGTTTTACACCTGCTTTGATCCATAATCATAACTATAATCGATTATAATGTGTCTACCGACCTTATTATGCTCCTGATACAACCACTTTTTGCGTCAATATTCGCAATATTGAGTCAGTTAATAGATTTAGAGACCTTCTTGTGTTTCTGTGCTCCTGATACAACAATTTTTCAGAATAAAAGTGTACTAAAGAGACACAACATGCAAAAAGGCGTGATGATGAATTTTTATTTCAGGACACTATGTACGTGGACAGATGTCCTTGGCTCCTGTGATCCTCAGATAAAAGATCCTTGTATTAGGAGAGCATAATGTACGAAGCTATGTTGGGTAACAGACTCTGTCATTTCTGATGCAATAATTTTGCAAAGAAAAGTTTGTATCAGCAGAACATACCCTTTGAGACAGTAGGCACAATTCTTATGAGCTCTGAAAAACTCTTGGGAACCTTTGAAGGTCCATAATAAATCATCATAAATAGAAAATTTCAGTTACTCACGATTGTATTGCCCTGATAAGTTTTTTAAAAAAATTTTGAATCAGGATCACTTTTCATTGACTTAAAACAAGTGTCAGAGAATAGATACTGATACTTCTGCGTTTTTAGTGCCTTTTATGACAAAAAATTCGCATCATGAGCTCACAATTTAGAAGGAGGTGAAAGTTTCTGTGTTTCAGATATTTAAAGGTTTAAAATAAAAATTTGTTCCTGTTTAAATCTTACAACTATTTTACAAAATTAAATAATTAAAATTATCTTAATGATAATTTCAAATCATTTTTTATCTTGTTGATAATCAAAAAATAATTATTTTTATCTTGATGATAATTTTAATTCCATTCCGCCATTTAAAATTATCACATTTTTTAATTATCGTTGATGAGGTGAAACGTAAGTAAAAGGGTTGCTTTACTCTTGAGTTGTTGAGAAATGTAGCCAAACATTTGACCTAGCAAGATCTCCATTAGATCTTCAGTGTGGACTGGACCTGATCAAAAGTTATAGACTAGAAACCAATTTCGAAAAAAAATTCAAAGGGCTGTAACTTTTGAACTAGTAGCCCAATCTTGGAACTGTTTGAAATTATGGATTCTACAGGCCACATTCTATAAGAAAATTTTTTTTCCGGGTCGATCTGAGACAATTTTTTTTTCGGGGCTCAAAAAAAGGCAGTGTATAACCTTCCTTTTTTACCAAAAATCGACTACACCAAAATTTCTCGGGAAAACACTTTTTCTTATTAATTTGGGTGCGTAGAATCCAAATCAATTCGTACTTTTTCGATCAGACTTCTCAATCAAAAGTTATAGACTAGAAACCAATTTCGAAAAAAAATTCAAAGGGCTGTAAATTTTGAACTAGTAGCCCAATCTTGGAACTGTTTGAAATTATGGATCAGGAGCACATCGCTTATCGTCCTCAATCGAGCCAATCTAACGTTTGGGAGTTCGGGAGCATGAACGAGAAAAAGTTTTTCGAAACCCCCAGAAAATGAGAAGATGCGGCGTTACTTGGTTCAAATTTTCTGTCGCATCCTTTAATTGAGAACCAAAATCTCTGTCGAGATCAAAATTTAAGTTGGTAAAGGTAAATTTTTATGTGAAACTAACCGCCACCCAAAAAAAAGCGAGACACCTAAATGACTCACCAGGTGTCTGTTGATCGAAGGGTCCTGGGACTACTTGGAAAACCTCCCCGATGTCGGCCGTCGTCTCCTTCCCCTCGGCTCGCCTTTGCAGCTGATGTAACTGTTCTAAATGGAGATGTTTTAGGGATTTGATGTGTTGTAACAAAGGTAAACGATTCGTTGATGAGAAACCACAGAGAACGCAATGAAACACGCGCGGCTGTTCATGTCTGAACGAAGAGCAACGCTCCTCCAGGTACTTTAAAAGCGCAACGCCCGCCTCGTGCCGTCCGCCGGCGGCGTGAAGTTGGAGCTTATGCGCCGAATTTGTATAATAATCACAAGCGTTACACCGTATTTGTACACCACCAGGCGTTGACGCGTACTTCAATTTCCACTCGTTTCTAGGTCCACCTTCCTTAACATGGTTCACGTGTTGCAGTCTCTGTAGATGTTTATCAGTCTTACAATGTAGTTGGAAGTTAGCTTTTAGGTTAGTTTTGTACGTGCACAACTTGCAGACGTAGTGGCCCGCGATTAGTGCTAAAATTTCCTGCTCTCGCAACCTCGTCCGATCTTGCGCCAAGTGTCGACCTAAATCTTCGAGATTGTCCGTACTAAAAAGATTGCAAACGCAACAGTGGTAGGTTTTCTGCGGATCGGGATCCGCGGGTTCGGGCGGCGGCTCCATCGTGTCCGGATTGAGACCCATGTCGGAGTGCACGGCCATTTCGGCGGGACCCGCGTGCCCTGGCAGTTGTCCGCCGGTCATCATTTGTATCAACAAGGCCTGATTGTAGGCCATGTCGGCCAAAGCCGCTTCTGGTTTGTCTCCAAGACCCGGGTACATGCCGTAGAGGTTCTCCATGTGCTGCTGTGACTGTTGCTGGTGGTGCAGCGCGGATAGTGTCTGCATGTGCTTCACGTTCTGCTGTAGCACCAGCATGTTGTGCGTATGCTTTTCTGATGTCATGTGGATACGCAGGTTCCTCGCCACGTTTGTTTCGTAATTGCAAACGTCGCAACGAAAGCTGGGTTTGGGTTTATGGCCGCTACTTACAGGGGAGTGGTGGATTGGGGGAGCCTTTGGAGATGACTGTCGGGAATCCGTCGTGGGCGCTCCTCCGTTTTGCAACTCTTGCATGTTGTTCAAGTGCTTATCCGATTGCATATGTATACTGAGATTACCTTTGGTTGTGGTTGAGTAATTACAAACCTCGCAACGATAAGGTTTGTAACCACACGTGTATGTTTCACCCCGCGCCAGGCGAGGGTGGGGTTGACCAGCTATGCAATATATACAACTGGTCTCAGTCTCTGGATGCTTCTCTTTCATGTGAATTTCTAACGTTTCTTGGTATTTGTAGTGCCAATTACATTTGGGGCACTTAAGTGTTTTACAAGAATTTCTACTATGCACATTGCCCAGACCTGCAGGTCCCAATCTACCGGACGCCAAAATCATCTCGCACCTCGTGCAGTCCACCCCCGAAGGTCGACCCTGGATATGCTCGGGACAGACACCGATCGTGGTGCCCGACAGAAAGGCAGGAGGATGTACAAAAGGAGGGGACGGTGATTTTCCAGGCGTGGTTCGTGAAGACGTCGGCGGCATCTCGGAGGAAGGTGATGGTTGTTCGCCGCGTAGCAGGTTCGACGTGATGGAAATCGTACCCATGTGATTCTCAGACGCGGACTGAGTGGTACCGAGAGGTTCCAGTAGCGACACTATCGGTATCTTCTCGGCACCCACGCATTGCAAAATTGCCGAACTGTCCGCCGCTAGCACTTCACGTTCAGTGTCCTGTAGCGTAACCCCGTGTTCTGCTTGAGCGTGATTGGCAAACGATCGCGCAAAACCAAAACTGAGTTTACACACGAAGCACATTAAAATTGGTTTAATTGGTACCGATGCCGGCCTCGGAGGTCTCGCGTCCCTTAACGCTACGACACGATAACTGTGCACCGCCGGCGGTTCCGCCTGCCTTGTCGCCTGACGAAGTAATCGCGACACGTAAACAGCCTGGAGAGGTGGAACGATCTCTGGAATATTAGGAATCGCGGTGCTTTCATTTTCGCTCTCCGAATCTTCGATGATGTAAGCGGAACCGTCGGGGTTGTACACGATCTTGCCGGAGAATTGCTCCACATCCGATGTATCTTGTTGCGATATGCTTGGTGATGGTAGATTTGTGGACGGCGGCGGAGGGGGAGACGCTCCTGGTGCAGCAGGAGGCGGACTTGCTTCTTGCTCTGGGCTCATAATGGTCGATTCGAGTTTGTGCCGCTCTATGCGGCCGCCGGAACAGAGCTCAGGCGCCGCGGACAAAGTGGGCATCGCGGCGCATCACATGCTCGCCCACTGGACGCCCTGCAACAACAAGAAATAATCGTTAAAAAACAGAAAATAACATCCATCATTTTTGATTTAGGAAAAAAGACATTTAATCAACAACAAAAGTGTCTTAAGGGCCTTCTGTATTGTTGCAGGATGTTGATCCATACTGAAGAGTGAAGAATTCCAAAATTTCAGAATTTTCAAAATGTTCCTTAATTTATGGCGACTGCGTGTAGCTTAATGGGTATAGGCCAGGAAATAAAAGCAAATGACGTTTTAAGGCACACACAGCTGCAAAGTTTAACAATAGCGTATTTATTTAAAAAGTTGATACAGTGATAGCATTCCAAATTAAAGTCTTATGCCGTGCCTCTCATGAATAAATACCTTTGTTATAGATTAAGGTGTGCTCCTTATACGCCGGCCATTTCAACATTGTTATCCAATCATAATCCTCTTTAATCGTGACCAACAAATTCGCTAAATTAATGTAAAATAATTAAAATTACCCAACGCACCAAATCGTTCAATTTAATTACCTTTCCATGTACCCCACAACCTTTTGCCTTTCAGTCACATTGTATTCTAGTGCGAGCCAATTAAGTTTCTAAATTTGTCGAAACAACCTTGCCTTACTTCCCGCGGGGGGAAAAAAAGACGGTTACCGAAACGGAAACTGCATTATTTGTCCAAAGCTGATAAACAACGGTAAATATTTTAGAAGTCCATTTACTTATCTACGGTATTTAATTTAAATATCCACGGCCATCGGATCTTATCATGGCAAATGGATAAATGTACCGATTTCCTTTTGCAATAACGTGGGAAGAAAATGACGCCCTAGACCTCGCCCTAGACTATGTGGTGCATAGGTAATTTCAATTTCAATTATTTATACAATGGACCAATTGAACGGCTTATGCGTTCGGGGAATTCCGTTCCAAATTTGGATTTTTTTCGATTCTCACTAATAAAGTTCAAAAAGAGGCACAGAACTATTTAACAGAAAAGGATGTAAACTTTTACCTAATCTAAGTAATTCCCTAAGGTTTATTTTATTTTATTTTTCTTTGTCCTTGCTAAGGGATTAAAAATTGTAATTGTGTATTTGTATTTTTCGTAGAGGATCTGTACATTTATTTGAGTTATTGAATTATTGTTTTTTATAATTTTAAAATTATTATTTTTGTTATAGTTTTTGGCATTTTGGGTTAATATACCTATATATAAACTACCATTTATTAGCTCTACTGGTACCTAATCTTAATTTAATAGTTTAAAATGCAGTTATTTTTATTTTTTGTAGTACTTTGAAATTGTACACCGAAATATGTTAGTGCTTTTGGGGTTATTCCCGTATTACATCATTAAATTAAAATTAAATTAAAAATTAAAAAATAAATTAAAATATCGAATTTTCCGCATTATACGCTAAAGTTAAAGTTATTAAAATCAGAAAATGCCCTAGATGTAATAGTGGTATCAATATTGATATCTCCGACAAGTCATGCATCAAGATTAACCGTTTTTGGGGGATTGCAGTGTCTTCATTCTATGATGCTGCTAAAACGGAATATGTTACATGCAAATGTAACACCGGGAAGTAATGAAACTCGGAAAGGAAACGAACCAATCAATTTTGCCCCACCAAACAAACATTCGTTTCGCGAGAAATCCGTATGGTTACCTTCGGAGCTCCACAGACACCCCCGAAAATGCATTGATGTGCAAAAATGACACAATCTAATGGAAGAATCAAAAAGAGACTAAAAGAAAACCAAGCAAAGAACCCAAAAAGTTCGTAAGATCTGACGAAATCCGAATAACATCACTTTGAAGAAGCTGAACAACTAAAGAATCGAAAAGTCCTAGGAACTTACACACTTAAAAACACTGAAGTCTCAGAAAAATCCGTGTGGGGCAGAATAATTTAGGAAACAAAGCATTTAAAGGGTCTAAAGGTCTTAAAGAACCTGCAGAATCGCGAGATTTTGAAGGATGTGATGTATTTCAAGACTTGAAAGTAGATGAAAATTACAAATAACTTGAACCTGAAAAATCTATAAAATCTACATTACCTACCTTAAAAACCCAAAGAATCAAAAAATTGGAATAATTCGAAAGGTCCGAAAACTCTGGTTAATAGGAATAATTTGAAAGGGTCGGGAAATTTGAAGACTCGCTAACGTATAACTGGTTTCGGGATATACGATCATCCCCGACCGAATTTTATCGCGTGTAAGATTTGCTTGGGTAAGCAACCCTAACGCTACATTTGATCCTTTAAGCCTTTAAATGAATTGGTGCCGCGCTACGTAATGTGTTCCTGTCCCAGTAAGTGCTACGTTTATTTCTTCAAACCTTCAACGAATTGGTTCCGCGTTACCACAAGGGTTTCGGTCTCAGTAAGCATTACATTTGGTCCTTCGAGCTGCTTAACAAATGGGTGCCCCGTTAGCACAAGGGTACCGCTTCCAGTGAAGTGCTACATTTGAGCTTTTAAATGAACTGGTGCCGTGCTACATTTATTCCTTCAAACCATCCACGAATTGGTGCCGCGTTACCACAAGGATATCGGTCCCTACATTTGGTCCTTCGAGCTGTTCAACAAATGGGTGCTGCGTTACCGCAAGGGTACCGGTCCCAGTGAAGTGTTACATTTGATTCTTCGAGCTTTTAAATGATCTGGAAACAAGAGCCAGGACTACGCCAAGAAGTCTAAACCAAACAATATCCCAAAAGGAGCAACGATTTTAATGTCCAATGGGAGAGCGATGGGAACAAATGCACGCCCATTCGCCACGATACATGGAGGGCGAGGATTCCATGAGTTACCTACCCAGCCTAGGTCACACGCACTCAGACTGTAGTAGACAGAAAGTGAGATTTAATCGTCTTATGAAACTGATGAAGAGCCCATGCAAAGCCCCGTGTCCATAACGGACGAGGTGGCGTTGACAAAATTGGAGATGTCGAAACCCAAGAGGCAGCCCTATCGCAGAAGGATGACCTGCCGTTCGCCATCCACAGACGGAATATCGGTTCAAGGTTTCCACGCGAGAATATGACGACATGAGGGGAGGGAAAATGCAGGGGAGGCACCTGCAGCCTCCATCATGAGGTGTTAAAAGAGCAAAGCTCCATTACGAGTGGTGTTTGACGCCTCCTCCACTTTTCGTTCAGGAAAAGACCAGAACGAGATGCTGCTAACTGGTTCAAAACTACAAGAAGATTTATGTGGCCAATAAGAACCTCCACGGCACCGATGAAGTTGCAGAAAACACTACCGAAAGTGGAGCTCGGTGGAGCAGTACTGGCGGCCAAGCTGTTATCTCTCAACCTCAAGACACTCATTCCCTTTCTGGATGCCATGGGACTACTAAGACCCAGATACGCTGTCTGAGATTCAACCACAGCACGGCGAAATAGGGATTCAGAATATACGATAATCCTCGACCGAATTTTGTCTCGTGTAAAATTTGTTTGGGAGAGCCTTGGGATATACAACCCTAAAGCTACAAACAGGTTTGTAGAAGATGAAAAACTGAAACCGTTCGAATAAAATGAGAAATTGGATCGTAAAAATATTAATAACCTGAAATCCTGAACATGAATTCTAAACAAATGAAGAAACGAAAAAACCCACAGAACCTACAGAAACGGAAATGCCTAAATAAACTGAAGAATCAATAGCATGCGAAAGGTCCCTCAAGAAAACTGAATAGTCACAGTAATGCGGAAAATCAAAAGTCTAAATATTCGAAGGAAATTTGAAAAAAAGGGGAAAAGTTGTTTATCGGAGACGTTGGTCCTATAGAAGATTAAAAGGGGGCTTGGATGGAATGGCCCTCCCCTTCGTATTATAGTCACTGAAATTTTTTTTACAACGCACCCAAATGCCCAAATTTGAACAATCTGAAAGGATATACAGATTATACAAATTGTTAAAGCTGAAGCGAAATCGGAAAGGTGGAATCGGAAGCATCCAACTACATATTTCCATGGGGCGGGGAAGCAGAATATGCAGTAAATTTAATGTAAGACCCCATGGATGCCGCGTTTGGAATAATCATTAGCTCAATTTGATCAGACATTTATGTGAATGGAGAGGCGAGAGGTTACTTCATGGACATAAAGCGTGAGCACTGGACAAGCAGACGGACAGTGGAAATTTTTGTAATTAAAAGGCGCTAAAATACTGTACGAAACACTAAAAAAATCCCTATGGTTTTAATGCTCATTTCCTTTCACTTATACACCTCGGAAAAAACATTCAATTTTGTTTAAAATACAACCCCTCTCCCCAACATATCAGTTTCCGCATAATTAATAAAAAATCCCCGTACGTTTCATTTTATTTATGCATTTAGGCTCAATTACTTAACCAAATGATTAAGGATAATCCACAATTATAAATTGTGTTCCTGAAGCAATAATAAATCCCACGGAGCACGGAACTAAATGAATGGGAATCTGTGCTAATATTTAAATTTTAAAAGGAGATTAGGCAAAAACGAACTGGTTTTCGGTTGTTGTTTAATAGTCTTGGAATGTCTTCAATACCTGCATGTGTAATTTTGACTGAGAAAACGAAAGTTCCAAGTTTGAAAAAGGGGTGGAATACCGTAATAGAAAACCACTCTAATGTTGACCATGGATAATTTCCTGCAAATTAAAATTCTAACTATATCATCTATAGCAACAAAAACAACGAATTAATATTCCGCAAGCAAATTAGATTCTCCATTAACGTGTGGCGAATAAGAATATTTCGCCGAAAATTCTTTCGCTCTCTTTTCAATTTCACACTAAATTCACCTGAAATTTACGCCCGACACTGCGCTGCTTTGAAACTTAAAACGAAACTATTTACCAATTACATTTAACGATTTACCTTTAATTACATTCTACGTTTCGTATTTTTTGAAATAAATCGATATTGTATTTCGTTTCGAGGCGTTACAAACATGATGTCGCCGATGGAAAGTAGGTGAATCACG